GCCAAGATGGCGACCGGCAGCCAGGCAGCTTAAAACTAACATGAGGCTTGCTTGCTTCAGTGACGGAGGAAACCAACGTTCCCCGCCTGCCCTGCAGGCCTCTAAGCCTGCAGTTTGAAACATTTTAACAAATATAGAAGCTAAAAAAAAAACCTCGAAACCAGCTTTCAGCGAGCTGGGATCTCAGAGCTGGAGTCAGAGCTGGAGTTATACATTGTTTCGAACCGAAACAAACCAGATACCTACTTTCAGCAGCGGAGGCCTAAGAGCTGGAGCCTCAGAGCTAAAGCTGGCCCAGAATTAAAAAAAGAAAAAAGAAAAAAAGGAGCGGTTGGGAGCTTCCGTCACCCGCCAGCCTGAAAACAGCCCTCAGCCCCTCACCCAGACTGGCCAGGCACCCCAGTGGGAACCCCCACCCTGAAGGGTGTGTGACCAGCTGCAAACAGCCATCATCCCCTCACCCAGGCTGGCCAGGCACCCCAGTGGGGACCCCCACCCTGAAGGGTGTGTGACCAGCTGCAAACAGCCCTCAGCCCCTCACCCAGGCTGGCCAGGCACCCCAGTGGGGACCCCCACCCTGAAGGGTGTGTGACCAGCTGCAAACAGCCCTCAGCCCCTCACCCAGGCTGGCCAGGCACCCCAGTGGGGACCACCACCCTGATCCAGTACACCCTTCAGGGCAAACCAGCCAGCCCCACCCATGCACCAGGCCTCTACCCTATATAGTAAAAGGGTAATATGCCTCCCAGCACCGGGATCAGCAGAGCCGAGAGGCCTCCCGGCACCGGGATCAGCGTGACAGGGGGCAGCACCCAAAACCCCTGATCGCCCTGCGGCTCTGTGTGTGACGGGGGCGGGGCCACAACCTCCCTATCCGCCCTGCTCTGTTTGTGACAGGGGAAGGCGCCCCAACCTCCTGATCAGCCCTGCTCTGTGCCTGATACGGGGGAGCTCCCCAACCTCTGATCGCCCTGTGGCTCTGTGTGTGACAGGGTGCGGTGCCCCAACCCCCTGATCGGCCCTGCTCTGTGTGTGACAGGGTGCGGCGCCCCAACCCCCTGATCGGCCCTGCTCTGTGTGTGACAGTGGCGGCGCCCCAACCCCCCGAATGGCCCTGCTCTGTGTGTGACAGGGTGCGGTGCCCCAACCCGCCCCCCCCCCCGCCACGGGCCCTGCTCTGTGTGTGACAGGGTAGAGCCATAACCTCCCCATCGGCCCTGCCCTGAGTGTGAGAGTGGTGGTGCCCCAACCCCCTGATCGGCCCTGCTCTGTGGGTGATAGAGGGCGGCGCCACAACCCCCCACCCCCCACGGGCCCTGCTCTATGTGTGATGGGGTAGAGCCATAACCTCCCCATTGGCCCTGCCCTGAGTGTGAAAATGGTGGCATCCCAACCCCCTGATCCGCCCTGCTCTGTGTGTGACAGGGGGGAGCTCCCCAACCCCCTGATCGACCCTGCTCTGTGCGTGACAGGGTGGAGCTCCCCAACCCCCCTGATGGGCCCTGCTCTGTGCGTGACAGGGGGGAGCTCCCCAACCCCCTGATCGACCCTGCTCTGTGCGTGACAGGGGGTGGCGCCGCAACCTCCCCATCGACCCTGCCTTGAGTGTGACAGGGGGTGGTGCCCCAACCCCCCAATCGGCCCTACCCTGAGCGTGACTGAGGGTGGCATCGCAACCTCCCAATCCGCCCTGCTCTGTGCATGACAGGGGGCGGGGCCCCAACTCCCCAATCGGCCCTGCTCTGAGCCCGAACAGGGGCTGCACCTAGGGATTGGGCCTGTCCTCTGCCACCCGGGAGCAGGCCTAAGCCAGCAGGGCGTTATCTCCCGAGGGGTCCCAGACTGCGAGAGGGCACAGGCCAGGCTTAGGGACCCCCCCTTCCCCCCGAGTGCACAAATTTTTGTGCACCGGGCCTCTAGTACATTATATTAGAGGAAGGACCATAACATAAAACAAATTTAAAAATATATATATATGTGAATAAATAATTTCACATATTTCTTTCTAATATTTACAGCTTTTATTTATTTTTCTTGCCTTATTATAATAGTTAGGGCCTGCATTCTTTGGTAAATAGACGTTGTAATAGAAGCCATCCCAAACTAACAGGAAAGTATTTAATATATCACTATTGAGTATGATGTTGGCTTTAGATTTTTTCATGGATAATCTTTATCATACTGATGATGTTTCTTTCTATACCTAATTACCTGAAAGGCTTCTTTTTTAATCATAAATGGCTATTAAAGTTTGTCAATAGTTTTTTCCCACTTCTATTGAGATGATCTTATAGTTTTCTTCTTCATTCTATTGATATGGTGAATTACACTGAATGATTTTCAAATGTTAACCAATGTTGTAGTCCTGGAATATCTGTTACTTGGTCCTGATGTGTAATTCTTTTCAGATATCACTGGATTCTATTTGGTAATAATTATTTGTAAATTATACCAAGGAAAAAAGGAGAGGGAAAGGGAAATGGGGGGAAGGAGGGAGGGAGTGTGGGTATGAAAAGATGAGGCTAAAAGAATTACCAAGAAAAGAAAATCATGACAGCAGAGTAGAATTATTTAATAGAAGTGTTAGTAATCCTCATTGAGACAATCTCTCAAGAGAACAAAAAACAAACTACCTTTTAATTAATCATTATAGGGGTGTAAGTGTCAAATAATACAAATAACCAGAAAGAGAGAACCAAAAGAAAACAGAGGAAAATAAATTATCAAAAAAGCAATTTAAGAAATTTCCTCAAAATTATGTATAGTCTTTACATTTCACACTGAAGGAGCTCAGGACAATACATGAACCAAGAAACAAAACTGAAAATGGAAAGTTTCAGAATCCTGGATGCCACTGAGGAAAATAAGCCAATTATAAAGAAAAAGGTATCAACATGGCTTCAGATTCTTCAGCCATAACACTAGACCAATGCCTTCAAAATTCTGAAGTAACATTATTTAAAAACAAGTATCGTTAGCCTAAGTATCAACCAAGAATATGGAAGAATAAAGACATCTACAGACAAACAAGAGTTACCAGCCAGTGAGGCTCAATTAATTGAGTGTTGGCCCATGCACCACTATGTCACTGGTTCAATTCCTGGTCAGGGCACATGCCCTGCTTGCGGACTACATTCCCAGTAGGAGGCATGTAGGAGGCAACCAACTGATGTTTTTCTCTCTTTCTCTCCCCAATCCTTTCCTCCCTCCTTCCCTCTCACTTCGTCCCACTCTAAAAAAAAATCAATAAAAACATATTTTAAAAAGATCTAACACAAATCCTTTTTTCAGGAAATTTCATAAGGACTTTATTCCATCAAAATGAGCACATAAAGCAAAATGGACAAAAGGTACTCATTTTTCCATTATAAATCTTATGTGATCAGTTTCATTATAACTTTAATGAAGACAAATCTAAAAAAATTAACCAAATACAATAAAGGAGACATGTAAATTTTGCAAGTCATAATAGAACATTTAGCTACCAAGTACATGAAATTATATTTTAAATCTGATATTTTTTAAAGTAAGCATATTACAGTAGATGGAAGAATCTTTTTTCAATCAAAGTAAATTAAACATATTCAAATTCTACTAGTAATATTAACTTTTATAGCTTTATACTCTGTGATGAAGTATCTGCCCAAAGCAAAAGTTGAAAAAGTTGAAGAACTGACATAGACAAAAGAGCTTCATAAACGAAATGAAGGAAGAAAAATTTGCCTCTGTCAATTACATACAAAAGAAACAGACTTAGCACAGTCCTTCAGTAATAAAGTTTTTCTTGATTCTAACCATCCAAAGAAAAAGCTGACTATTCAAAGAAATAAATAAATAACGTTCTTTGTCAAAAGATTTCACCAAAACATAAATACAACAGAAACTGGAGCAAGAGAGTGAGAGTGCAAAGGAGAGACAGAGAAAAAGAGAGCTGAAATCTGTATATGCCATAAAATTCAAAAACAAGGAGAAAAATCTCCACGTGACTTCAGGATACTATTGTCTTACTACCTTCACCTTCTCATTTCAATTGAAATTTAATCACCACATTAATCCTAACATTACTACTCACATGGTTATTTTAATAAACATCATTCTCACCAATTTAGAGAATTAACTGTTTAAAGAAGTATTAGGAGGAAGATTTCCCAACTTCTGGATAATTTTTAAAAACATAAATTAAATATTTTAATATCCTTTTTTAAAACATTTCATAGTATGCAAATAATATTAGTAGGATTGTTTTTAGTGCACATGCTAAAATGCTGAGTGAACACAGGCAAGTTAATGAGAAAATACAACCCTTAGGAAGTTCAGATCATTAAAGAGTCAGGAGTTACTTAGGCATCCAAATAGCAGATTTAATTTTAAAATGTACTTAATTCTGTAAAAAGTAAAAATAAAATATGATATTTAAGTACAACATTAAGAAGTATTCATTATTAAAGCAGAGATCCAAGGTCAAAAGCCAGAAACTGTACTTCTGACATAGCTGGAAATGCAGAGAGCAGACTCCTCTCTAATCAAGATAATGATGAAAAACCAAGCTCTCCAAGGCAGGCAGTGTAACTGCGAAAAGGAGTAAAGACACAAGAACAACAGAGACTTGGGGAATACCCAGAGAAGAAAGCTAAACCAGAAACATAACAAAAGCGGCACAGTCAGCAAGGAAGGGACCTGGGAGGAGCGATGCCATGAAAACCAGGAGAGAAGAGGCATTCAAGAAAGAGCCAGCCAAGTCAGAAGCTAAATCAAGATCAAAGAGGATGAAGATAAATCAAAAACACAGCAGAAAGTGAATGGCCATATTGAATTGGTTAAGATTACCTATTTCCATCTCAACTGACGGGACTAAAAGTTTATCTTGGGGGGAAGAGGAGAAGGGGTATAGACACTTGGGAGAAAACAGACTTTAGTTATCATTCTTGCTGTCTATAGTCCAAGACCAATAAAAGAGAAATGTTCTGAATGATTTGTTTCTTCTTAAGGGCTACACTCACCAAACTGTGGAGCAGGCAAGATCCTAGCCGCCCGAATTGGGCCATTTCGAACAGAGAATAGCTCCTGTGCTTCCCCACTGATCTGCAAGAGAAGACAAAAAATTTTAGTAAATGAAAACACAGGTCCAGACATTAATATATGAAAACGAGATCTCCTGAATGTTATCATAACTTATTGTCTCATATGTAATACACACACACACTCATACACATTTATGGTTCATCACACACATTAAATATACCGTATCTTAAGTTATCATTAGTATTCCTAGAAAATTGTAAGAGCATGCACTTGATATGAATGGTAGAATATGTGGTCTGTCTGGAAGTCTATAATTTTTAATCTTTAATAAACTACTACAAATCAGCTCAGTTCCTGCATGACTGCTTTCCAAAGCAACTATGATTTTTTGAAAAGCAGATCTTAAACGTTGTAGTAAATTTCAAAAATACGTTGTAAAAGAGGAAAAGCAAAATATATTGTAAAGAACCCTGAAGTGAAATGTCAATGACCTAGTTACCAGTTATAGTTCTGCAACTAACTAGCTGTTAACCACCTTGAGTAAATCATTTGACCTCCATAAACATTTTTTATATTCTTTTTTCTTTCCTGAACATATTTTTAATAAAAATTGTATGTATTCAAGGAGTACAACAGGATGATTCGATATACATATACACAGTAAAATGATTGCAGCAGACATCTCCTCATAGTTACCTTTATTGTGTGATAAAATTTCAGAGCACCTGAAATCTACTGCTTAGCATTTTTCCAGTGTGTAGTACAGTATTGTTAACTATAGTCATCACGACTGAACATTCGATCTCTGGACTTACCAACTTTGCATCCTTTGACTAACATCTCCTCATTTCCCCCACCTCCCATAAACCTATTCTTTTGCATTTGTAAACTGAGAAGGTAAAGGTGCTAAAAGACAAAGATACTTCTAATTTCAATATTCTATGAATAAAAAATTAATATGTAAACTTCATTAAATGTTACTGTTTTTGCTATACACATAACACTATATGAATGACCATTCATTTTGAGTCATATCAGACTTATTTCTCAGATACAGAGTATAGCAATCTATTAAAACAAAGGTAAAAGGGATATGCTAATACATGTGTCAACTGTTTTTCAAAATTAGTGGCTCAAGAAAAAAGTTTGCTGCTAACTGAAATATTGAGTAGATTAAATGTGAATTAGTTAAGAAAGGCTTTCCAGACTACTTTAAGTGGTAATGTAGTTCCTAATACATTTTCATTTTCTTCCCCAATACATTTTCATAACTGTCAATTGTTTGATGGAATATATAATATCAGATAGGGAAAATGGCAAACATTATACAACTAGTTCTAAATACTCAAGAACTTTAAACAGATATAATAGTGATAAACATTCAATAGAGGAAACATGCTGATGGTATTTTTTTAAAAATAGGCCTGCCAGACAAGCAGTTTAAAATATCAACAGTGCATATATTATAAAATAAAAGGCTTATAACTCTTCCAATATTAAACTATAAATTTGTACAGCTGCCTTTTAGAGTAACTACTTTTTTAGATCTTTATCTTCTATCATAATTTAAGTGCAGCAACCTATAAATATTTTTGTTTCTTATAAATGTTAAATTATGGTAATGCCTAAAGAGCCATCATATTCATTTTGCTTATAAAACTTATTACAACTTATTTATTGACCACAATGACAAGTCCCTCTAATAGCACCTGGGATGCAGAGATATGAGGAATGCTTGGCTCTTCAGACCAACTATGCAACAATAGCACCACCTATCACCAATTAAACACAAAGGCTATAAACTCAGCATAGCAAACTATAAGAATTTTCCTCTCTACAAATTCCTTTGTGAACACTAATTTTGTAAATGAAAGCCGTTGCCATTACAAACTGCAGCTCTTAAGTCTACATTTTATTATGAAATAAAATTTAAAATTTAGAAAAAGCCTTCAAAAGTCAATTTTGTTCAGCACCCAAAGCATAATTACACATTCTCTGAAATCTGGAAATCACACTCTTTCATTTTAAGCACACTTTGACTGAAAGGTGTATCACTAAAGTAATCCAATTATATTATGGATGCATTATTGGCTCTTTCCACCAAATGACAAGTCATTTACTTTTTGAAAATAAATTGTCTGCTGGGCAATGGATAAATAATATTCTTCTTCAAATACATGTACTGTTTCTATTAACAAGGAAATTAAAAAAAAACTTGCTTTGAAATTATAGAGTAATGAAAACCACTTCTCACTATCATATATAAGATTTGTACCTATAACAAATCATTGTATTCCAACACAAAATCTACTCTATACTATTATTTTCATATGCCACAAGTCTAGCACTTAACTTTTGGTTCTATCAAATAAAGCCCTAAAGTTAAAAAAAAAAAATCATATTTAACTGAGATGCTGTACTAAATTACACTAAACAATAAAGAATAAAACAAACCTGTCTTGGCACACTCACAATATAATAACCGTTTGTTACCACTAGATTAATACACAAGAGCTTACTTTGATATGGAAAAACATTTTGAAATCTGAACACACAATGTTTTTCAAAGTAATGGCTTTTAAAACAAACCTAAATGCTAGCTTCTACTCTAAACCCCTCTTTAAATGTACAGAAACAGGTAGAGAAAAAAACACATTAGGACTGATTATAAAATGCTTCCTCACATTCATTACCCATCCTTTATTGCCTCTAAATTAAGCTCCTAGAAGCTTTGTTTAATTATAAGATAAGGAAGAGGGGAAGAAACACTGTCCCTATTTATAGGTATTTGTGAATATGTTAAAGTCAAGATTGTTACAAGCATAATGCTAAAGTGTCCTAAGGGAGTCACAAATGTCAAACTTCCCAGAGAACTAACTCTTCAGTATGCACAAATTCTATATCGGACTATTTCAGAACAGAGACAGCGCTAACAAAGCTAACCAACAGATAAGATGGGCACATTTTAGAAAGGACACAGAGAGGATGGATATGTCCTTACAGGCACTGCTTTAGCTGCCGTCTTCAATTGCCTCTAATGTTTTATACAGTATGTTCACTGGTAATTTTGCTCTCAAATAAATAAGTGTCAAAACTGATTACATTTATTAAAGGCTTTCAAAATGATTTTTAGGTTTCTTAAAGAGAGCGCATTGAAAATGGCAAAGAATCTCCGAGATGAGGATTTTATAGATCCTGAATAAAATTACCAGGAGCTGTAAATTCACTTTTAAACCAACAATAATAAATAAATCCAAGGGTAGAACTACAAGGAAGGAGTGTACCGAGCAATGTTCCACCTTCCTGGCAACTGCGGTTACTTGGGGAAAGGAGGAAACCTCTCCAACAGCTCCTCATGGGTCTCTGCCTTTGTTCTTACTGGCATTTTAATTTCTGATGACAGACTTTTGTTGTTTGGAGCATAAACCGGACGTACCAGTTTGGAGGCACAATAAGGAGAACAAAGAATGATTTGTTCACACTGTAGGGGGAAAAAATCTTTTCCAACCATAGAAAATAGCTTTCGCATGGTGAAAATATGCAAATTACATACCAAACCAAAAAAGATGGGGGGAAAGTACAAGTTTAGAATCTCACAATTCAATCAAAGGCAAAAGGAAATTATAACAGCCGAGACAATAATACATACAGGGAAAGGCTATAAAAGTTGTGGGAGAGCTTTCTAAGTGCTTTTAGAGGATTCTAAAAGCAAATGAAGGTCATCTAGCCCTCAGAACCAAACTTGTTTCTGAAACCCTGATGACTTTTCAAACATATATGACTACCAAATAAAAAATTCATTAAAAAATCAAGGACAAAAACAACAAGGCTTTCTAATGACAGAATTAGGACAAGAGTACATATTTACACCCTCCACTACTCTTTAGACCGGCGGTTCTCAACCTGTGAGTCGTGACCCCTTTGGCGGTCGAATGACCCTTTCACAGGGGTCGCCTAAGACCATCCTGCATATCAGATATTTACATTACGATTCATAACAGTAGCAACATTACAGTTATGAAGTAGCAACAAAAATAATTTTATGGTTGGGTTACAACATGAGAAACTGTATTTAAAGGGCCAGAAGGTTGAGAACCACTGCTTTAGACACTGGTCAAATGGGGAATTGTGGGCTACAAATGATTCTTTTTAGCAAACTTTATTAAACAGACATACGGGGGGACAGGAGGAGAGAAGGGCTTTTGTACTATGATAATCCAGACGGAGAATTTTGTGGTTTCAAGGAAATGTCCCACTGAACGCAATTCAAATACCAACAAAATTATTTCAGATTAAAACAGGGAAAAAAAAGATAACAGACAATAGCCCAGCCGTGGCCGCTCAGTGGTTGAGCATTGATCTATGAACCAGATTGCGGGCTAGATTACCAATGTGGGGCATGCAGGAGGCAGCCAATCTGATTCCCTCTCCCTTTCTCTCTGAAATCAATAAAAATATTAATATATATAAGTAAATATATATGTGTGTGTATGTATATATGTATGTGTATGTGTATGTGTATGTGTATGTGTATGTGTATATGTATATGTATATGGGTTCTGTCTGCTCCACCTCTTCTTCAACAGGTAGTGTTAACCATTCTGGTGGGTAGGAGTCACACTGTGGTTTTAATTTGCAGTTTCTTCATGACTAAGGAGACTGCTTTTAATTCTTATTGGAATTTAGTTATACTGTTTCATGAATGACTATTAAAGTCTCTTGCCAAATACAGTTGCCTGATTCTAAAAAATTATGGATTTAAATGGTTGTCCATGATGAAAAAAAATGTATAAATCAGTCTCTGGAATAGCAATGCTGCCTCAAACTAAATGTAGAAACAGTCTTTATTATAGTAGCCCTCCATTGGGGCAAATGATGTAAAACGTTTGTCCTAACGGACTCTTGATTTCCAGAGATTTGTATAATAAACAGTACAGAATATGAATAAGATTCAAGAATTCATTACAGCAGTTCTAGAAAAAGGTAGCTTTTCATACTTAATTGAATTCCTATTTAATTCCAAATCCAGTCATGAGAAATCTTTCCACCCAACTAAGAAA